GGTCATGCATCTATATAAAAAAAAATTATATTGATTCGGTTATTTTTAAAAAAGTTATAGCAATTTTAAGTAAAAAAAAATTGAAAAAATTTCGAAAATTAGCGATTTTTAAATTTGTAATTTTTTTGGAGATTTCCCCCATTTACGGGGAACGATGGATTTTTTTTCAAGTTTTGAGGGTAATGTCTTCAACTAGATACGATTTGTGATCTTTTGACATATTGTTCATCAAAATCGGTTCAATGAGAGCTGAGATGGAGCGTATACAGACACAAAAAAAAAAAAAAAACACATCATAGTAAAATTAATACCTTCTCAGCTTCGCATCGAAGCTAAAAATAATTAATAACAAAAAAAAATTGTTTAAAATTAATATTGATTTTGATTATAAATATGTTAAAAATAAGGAAAATGACATATTTAACCTATTTTATTAATCCTTTAAAATTGATTTTTGTGAAAGTTTATAATAAAAAAAAATTTATTTATTACCATAACTTTTAGCCCAATTCGCAAGTTTGAAATTGCACATCATTAAATAAAATGAATTATGAAAATCAAAAAAATTGTATCATTAAGATTAATATGCAGTCAGGAAATTTTATAATTACCATTTATCAGAAAAGCTAAATATTTTTTTGCATTTTTATCGTAATAGACAACTAAAATAGAAATAATAGTTATCATTTCCTAGTAACTTTTGATGTTTAATAAGATTCTACAATTGAAATATGAACTGAATTAATTTTAATTAACTAAAATTAACTTTAACTAAAAGACGTGTTAATTTATTGTCGTTAATTTATTTTTTGTTCAGTAGGCATAGCAAATATAAATAATAGTAGCAATAAAACTCAACAAAAATCAATTAATAGTTGCCTTTCAATTTTTTTGAATGCATAAGTGATGGATAGGTACTTGTGTAATCAATCCATAGAACGAGTACATTGGTGGAACGAGTAGGACCGATTGCACTGGGTCGTTACCCTATCATTCCGTTGGTACAAAATACAGTCGATCCCCAAATGATTACAGTAGTGACCTGAGTACTTGAGTAGTTCTTGCTTGTTTAGGATCATAGACAAGAATACAATGTTCGGGATTGTGTAACTACGACCTACAGTAACTGTCTATTTGGTAAACCGTAGACTTGGCCGCCCTCTTCTTACTGTGATGGAAAACTACCGCTATCTCTTGGTTTTTGAATAATTTAAAAAAACACTGTTACTAGACCACCAATTTTAAAACTGCTAATGGTATCCATCCACATATTTTAAATTAGTGATGGGCATAATCAAATTATTAGTAATCCAGAGAATCTCTTAAAATTTTACTCGAAATTAAAATCGTTTATTCTTTTGATAATAGTAATTAATTATTAATGATTTTGAGTATGTTTCAATTACATTNTAATTAATTATTAATGATTTTGAGTATGTTTCGATTACATTAAATACATTTATAATTTATAACCAAATTATTCAATTAAGTATAAGTAAAGAAATATGCATAAGATGTTTTAATAATACTACGTACTAATGTATAATGTTTGTATTGAAATTTTATATATACTAATTCTATTACGAAATTACGATTATTTTACTCATAATCGAAATATTTTGATTATGCCCATCACTAGTTAAAATGTGATTATTTATATCAAAAAATTGTCTTTGGTTTTCTTTTTTATAAGCTAAGCCTCTTGTATGGTCTCTGTTAATTGAGTGTAAAAAATACAACATGTATAAATCAAGGCTGAATTTAGACTTTTGAAGCCCCTGTCCAATTTTTTTGGGTACACCATTGAGAAAAAAAAAAGTCGTCAATTTTTAACGCTGGTGTGAGTACTAGGAACTTTTGGCGAGATGCTAATGGTTAACCATTTATATAATGCTAAAAATTAAAAAAAAAAAGTTAAGTGCAGTATTTTTGTTGTATTTTTTAATCGAGATATTTTTAAATTAGTATAGATTGATAGTATGACTTATTGAACTCTCTGTCATAAGTAAAACGCTTCGGTGCGTATTTTACAAAAAAAATGGTATAATGATTTTGCCCCTTCCAAGTACTATGATTTATGATAGGAAAAAAAGGATGTTGATAGTTATAAATTATTTTATTTATTATCTATTGAAATTTCATTTGATCCAAGCATTATTCAAATAGATATTACATTTATTATAATCACCAAAAATTACATTCTGTATAGTAAAATTAAATAATCTATAATTTAATTTTGTTTTGAATGAGAATGTAGATGTTGAGTTGTTATACAAAATACTACAAAATCGGCAATTGTTACCAAAAATTGTATGATTTTTGACTTTAATGCCCAATGTTTCCTAGAAATTAACTTTTTGGATATTTACCATCTTCAAGTACATTAAATTTGCGTTGACTTTGTGTAAGTTTTTAATGAAGTCAGGTTTTTGAGCATTATGAGATATTGAAAAGAAAAAAAGATTTGGTATTAGTTTCGTTTCATCAGTTTTTTATCAACATTTGAAAACAGTTTGACTCTCAGACAACAACAAAAAAGTTTATTTAATTATTGTATTATTTAATCAAATATTTTAAGGTGATAATTTCATAAAAAAACACTCGTACTATAGATTATTGAAGCAATTATTGAGCTAGATAGGTATTTAAATGAGTCTATAATAAAATGAAAGTGGGATCCTTTATTATGGTGGAATGAGAGGAAAATGACGTTTCCTAACTTATCTGATCTTTTATTGTTGAGATTATGGGTTCCATCAACTTTTGTTCCGTGCAAACGAACACTTTCTAAAGCGGGAAGTTAAATAATTTAACAACATAATTATTATTTTATAAATGATTTAAAATTTTAAGAAGAGATTGAAAATATTTTTTAAAATAAATATTGTTTTGAAGATATTTTTAATTTTGTAACATACTTATATAATTAAAAAAAACAGTATGTTATTTAACATATTCGTTAATAACATGATAGTTTTATACTTTAATAATTGATTATATTATATATATTATATTATACCTGTCAAAAATACAGTACATGTCTAAAAAGTACGGTTATTTATTTATTCTGTGGTAAGGTATCTATTTTTTTCATTAAAGTTCATTAAGCCTATCAATATTTCTGTATTATTACAGCTAAAAAAAAAATTCTTATCTAAACATTTTCGCATCTAAAAGCATTCGCGCCTTTTAAATATTACCTGATAATTAAATGACAGAAGTATTTATTGATTTATTATTGGTACTGTGCCTACTAACGTCCCGCGTAGATACAACTGTTTATATGATCAATAAATACTGGTTTGGTTTTGGTAACGGGTCGCAATTAAGGTACTCAATTACAAAAGAGTAAAAGTACCGGTGTACTGAATACTTTAGAATCGCTTACTTTTCAGTAACTGTACCGAAAGGAACGATTCCATTAAAGGAACGAAAATTCCCACCACTATATGTATGCATAATAATAATACATGTATAATATCACGCATTTTTCCTATCACATTCTGCCTCCAACTCAAATACAAAAATGATCATAACTCCAGAAATAGTAGTTCAAAAGTAGTTTAAAACAAAACAAAAAAATAAGTAAAAAAATTATAATTTTTAACTCATACATAATATATGATATGAATATATGATTTTGCGTCCCTGTGATTAGTGAATAAATTGTTAATTAGTATAAGTAATAATTTTCGATAATAGCTTCGGAACAAATGCTTATTGGAATAAGTTATTTATGGAACAAAAAGTAGTGATTCTTAAAATGATGTATTCCTAGCTCTTATCATTTTACGGATTCACTTAGTAGTAATTCTTATCACTCGAGGAAGAATAGATTAAAGATAATGAATTTTCAAGTATTAATTGTTTTGTTTATAGAAATTTTCGNATAATGAATTTTCAAGTATTAATTGTTTTGTTTGTAGAAATTTTCGTATACTTCTCAGAATTTATTGTCTACCATTTGTTAAGATTTAAGAAATCAATATTTTTGTGTGATTTTAGAACTTAGAATTATAATTATAATCCAATGGTAATTAAATATTTCTTATGTTAAATTAAATTGAAGTAGTGTAATAATAGTAAGTATATTTTTGTAAATAATCTTTAAATTTATAATTAAGTAAAAATTCTCGATTCTTATTAAAAAAAACTAACTTGACATTTTTTTAGTTAAGTTCTTTTATAAACTTAGTTTTCTAATATCTTGCTTAATATACGACATTGTAAATTCTGAAAATTGGAGATAAAAATGATCTAATTTATGATTTTAATACCTTGAATGGTAATTTAATAGTATTTATATATCATGAACTACTATCCTATACAACATGTTCTAAAATTAATGGTTTAATAACATTTATATAAGCTTAAAATAGCATTATATAATAAATAAATTATTAACTTGCTCTACAATATATTTTAAATACTATTAAGATATTTATACATATATTTAGTATATTTCATAATCTTAAAAATTATAGCAAAATATATTGTACTGAATTTAAAGTTAAAAAAAAAATACTTTTATGAAAGATAGAAATTAAATACCACCCTGTCTATTTCAATTGTATACACCAGTTTTTCTCAATTGGGAAGTTACAACCCTCTTTAGAGTTGCGAATTAATTATGAAAAGTTGGTAAAATATGTTATATATTTTATATATATAAATAAAATGTTATAATTAAAAAAAATGTTTAAGTTAAATTATATATATATATCACTATGTGCCTAATTAAGTATTGTTATAAAAATTAAAGTCCATTACAAGGTTTACCTAAAATACCTAAAATAGAAAAAAAATAGTTAATAATATATTCTATTATGTATACAATAGCAGATTGTGGAAACCAAGAAAACTAATATTCTTACTGTATTTTAATTAGCAAACTATATTTATGAAACATCTACATTTATATTACAAATAGTTACTATTTTTAATACTATTTACAACTGTTTTAAATGGTATTTGCNATATATATATATATTGTAATATCTAACAAACTTTATTTCTAGGCTCTTATTGCTAAAGAACCAAATTGGGAAATTGATTGGCTTACTAAAAGAACTCGAGCATTTGAAAAATCTCTTTTACAAGTAAATAAACCTAAGCAAGAATTTATTAAAGAAGAAAAATTGAAAGATTCAATAGTTATTGAATCAAAACCAGAAAAGTCTTTTTTTGAGAAGGATTTTAAAAAAGAAAAAGAAAGAGATAAAGAAAAAGAAAGACTTAGAGATAAAGAAAAAAATAAAAGAGAAATAGCTAGAAAAAACACTGAAATAAAAAACAAATTAAGCCCAATTATTGGTGAAAACAATGATTCTAATAATGTTTCAATATCAGATTGGATGAAACCTATCAACTTACCTGTTGAAAAAAGTTTGATAACATTGAAAGAAAATGTTCAAAAAGCTAAAGAAAAATTAAGTAAACATAAAACCGACAAAGTGGAAGAATATAAATCAAGAACATCAGAAACTCAAAAAAATAAAAAACAAAAGCTTGATGAACCCAAAGCAATTGATTCTACTGAAAAAAAAGAAGATAATTGTATTATGATTAACCGTAGCAAAATAAAACTACCTTTCATTGGTAAAATGCCATTTGCTAAGCCAGTCACTAAAAAAACCGCAGGTTCACAATCTAAAGAAGTTCCTAACTATATGGTTGAAACTAAGTGTGAAGAACTAAAAGAAAAACCAGTAACCTCTGTTGAATCTCAAATGCATATAATGGAACATATGATTAGTGCCATTAATGAAAAAAAGGTAATTTTACTTTCAATTAAATAATAATTGGAATAGAAATACTATGATAAAATGAAATTTTTGTTATTTATTTATTTATATATATATTTCATTATATTTTGCTAAGATANAAGAAGTTCCTAACTATATGGTTGAAACTAAGTGTGAAGAACTAAAAGAAAAACCAGTAACCTCTGTTGAATCTCGAATGCATATAATGGAACATATGATTAGTGCCATTAATGAAAAAAAGGTAATTTTACATTCAGTTAAATAATAATTGGAATAAAACTTATTGTCAGTTTTTTCCCAAAATAATGTTCATTGTAGATAATAGCATATTTATATTTTATTAATCATCTAGCTAAGATATTTTTATTAATTGAAAAAATTTCCTATCCCCATTATTATATCATTTTTATTGAAAATCAAACTGATCTCGATAAGTAAGAACTATTTTTTGACATGAGAAATAGGTGTTACATAAATCTGAAGTATTTTATTATATTAATAAATATAATATTTTATGAAGAATATTAGTCTATTACTTATAAACAAAATTTAGATAGTTTACATTAATTACATAGTAAATAAACTTAAAAATAAACATGAAATTTTGTCTCGAAATTGATAAATTTATAATGCATTAAGTGAAATATATATATAAGTAAAAACAAATTTAATTAAAAAATATTTTTATCATATTTTAATATATTATAAACTATTTTATTTATATCTTATTTAAAATTTTATTAAATTTTTAGATTGAAAAACAAACTTTACCTATTGATATGGATATTGATGATGAAAATGAATATGATGAAATGATTCTAAGTGCTAAAACAAATTTTTTTCAACCACAATTAAATATAGATTTACCTAGAAACGAAGTTCTCCATAATTTTAATCTTCCACATACAAGTTCACTTCCTCAAGATTTAAATGCTGCTTTAAATATGATTTTTCCTTGTAATGAACCAACAATTGGTACTTGTGTTAGTGTACCTGTTAACATCCAAAATAATAATTTAATGGATCCTCAAAATATATGTATTTATCCTGAAATGAATAGAATGTTAAATAGTTCACCAGAAAGGAAAAAAAAGAAAAATGCTCCGTCACAACGAAAACGTAGGCATATGAAAAAAAACATGGGGAAAGATGATGAATATAATAAAAATGAAGAAGAAGAAGTTGATGATAAATTGGATGAACTTATTAGTTCAGTGTCCAGGAAAGACAACATAAATAAGTCTAATGGCAATGAATCAGAGGGAGATGAACTTGCTATGCTTGGTATTGATGTTGAAGATATGGCTGCTCAATATTATTGAACTTAAATTAGTAGTCATCATCACTCATATTCTTGACCTATATACAGTGATTTTAGACTAAGATTTATATTTTTTTACAGATAAAACAAGAAATTAATTATGTACATCCATTTTACAGTTTAGTCATTAATTTTTAAATTACTACATAGAAAATTGTGATATTTTATTGGAATCACTATATTCAAAAAAGTATTTTGAATTTAAACACGTTTTAATTAATTAACTTGATTTTGTTAAAAATTATTTAAATATCATGGCACAATAACGCCACTTTACACTGTATAAAATTTAAATAAAAGTTGTTCAAACAAAAAAAAGGTAGGTAATCAGTTTTTAATAAAAAAAATTTTAGTTAGACTTTAACTGACAAATATTATAGTAAATCGATGATTCTTTTTATTCATTATTTATTTTAGATATTTTATTACATCCTATTCAAAATTTTCATTTGAACTTCAATGGTAATTATCATATATATTTTTAGAATTGTTTTATTACATTTCATATGTTTAGTATTAAACCTTAATTTATGTTACAATAAATTTATTTGTTTATGTATAATGGTGTGTAAGTATTGTAATCATGATAACAATTATTTGTATAACTAATTTCATATTTTATTTTACTTAGTTTAATTTGGATTTGTAAGCAATGAAAATGGTTCACATCAAGATATCTTCCGAAAGCTACTTTATTTTTCTGCATTAATTTTAATAAATTAGCAAAATTTATTAAGATTTCTGTTGATTCAATTAATCATTGATTGGAAATATTATATGTACCTATTTGCAAACTTAATGGATAGAACATAATATATATGGCAAGCGAACGCTACTGATTATCGCGAAACTGTTTTGATATACTTCAGCATTTATCAAAGTAGTCCAATAAGTAAAGATTAGCTTTGAACAATATCCAATCTACAAAAAAAAAATTAATTGTACGTGAAGGTAAAATGGGATGATCTTAAATTCATTCTTTAACTGAATTAATTTTTAAACCTAAATTGTTAATTCAAAGTGGTTTATTTTTAAAAACACCAAGTTTTGCCAAAAAAACATGACCATTTATAAAAAACGGTTATATCTAGTTTATACGAAGGATATTCCTATGAATATTCTTATTCTTATATAATAAAAACTGTCATGGAACTAAAATTATGGGAAAGGTAGAAAAAAGTTTTTACCGATAATATAATTTTTTTTTAATTATGCAGTCTTATTTTTTTTTTAATTGTCCATATACAAAATGGTAATGTCGACCTAAAACGATCAAATATTTTAAAGTATGGGTGACACATCCTTTCTGACTGTCCTGCTCTTAACATTTTTTTTTATTCACATTATCAACACCTGCTTAATTAAACAAGTAAATAAATACAACTATAGAGAGTAGAATCGTAGTAATATGTAATTTTGTTGTATTAAAATTACACAAACCGCCATTTCATTATTTTAATTATAATTTGAATATTTTTAAATTTGTAAATTTAACCGTCTTTACCTACGCCGCCTTAGAATAAGTTTTCTAGAAAGGAATCTTTCTTCATAATAGGGCGGTCGATGGTTCTATAAAGCAGGTTCACTGTACTGTAGCATTCAGAGCAGTATGTTCTTAATTGGCTATGGCCATAAGTATCTAGGGTGATAACGAATGCATGTAAATCTGAGTGCGAAACAATTCTTAAAAGCGAACTAAACTTAATAAATGTAAAATTGAATATATAAAAATAATTATTAATTATCAGGTAACTAATTATTATTAACTATCGGGCACTTAATTCATATCGTAAAATATGAAAATAAATATAATACATCATGAGCTATTTCTCACAAATATATCATATGATTTTTAATGCCTCATCTTGTTCTGAGTCATAAAATAGAGTCATTGTTCTTTTTCAATGTGATATAACTACCAAAGATCGATGGCCAGTCAACGAAAGTATACCGAAAATCATATGAATAGAAGAGACACAATACAGAATTAGGACTAGCACACTAAAAATTCGTAGAGACTAGTTTTAGTTATTATGGAGGTGGACATAATACCCATGCACTCGACCTGTTGTCCATTGTGCGCACCTCATACCGAATTGTCTTGATTCGGTTTACCCACCTAAGTGTTAATACACTACCAACCATAAAGTCACTTCTAAAGATGACCAAAGAGTCCTGTCTTTCTGGCGAAATTAAGTATCTATCTGGGTTTTAAGTTTTTAATATCTTCCTTTTCGGGAAAAGGTTTATTAAAGTAGTTTGATCTTAGTGTAGACAAGGCTTCACATTCGCACATGATGTGAAATGAGTCTTCTTCTTCTACTCCACACTTCCTGCACAATGGTGATTCCGATACCCCCATTGCGTTAAGATGTTTAAGCAGGTGACCGTGTCCTGACAGTAGACCAGTCAGGGTGCTTATTTGATATCTAGTCATGCTATTAAGATCACCCAGCAATAGACCACGGGTCTTGATAAACATTTTAGATTGTCTAGGTTTTTTTGTCTAGGATTCTAATAATTGCTTATTGTACATATTGTATAGATTGTAATTACTCAAATAAAGCCATATTAAAAAAAAAAAAAAAAAAA